TGTTCTCAACTATATTGTTATGTTGTATATCAATTTGTAGTCCCCGCTATCACTACGGCCTGAGTGGTTATATTCTGCGCAAAACAATTGTTGGACGGAGACAACACATACTTGTGTAGCGTYCTCTTAAATGTTTGTGATACATGTGTCTTTTACATCCTTACTGTGCCCTTATTTTCAGGTACCAACCATAAAACATGTTATCTAGTATAAGACTAAATTCATTGTCACAGCTGGCAATGTCTTGGTTGGTTTTGTCTCGTCACAATTAAGTTAGACTGATAATCTGTTTATCTATATTATGCATATAAATATAATATATATATAATATAATATATATTATATAAATTTTAAATAATATACAAACACAATAACTTAGATAGAAAATATCTATTCCTACCATTGTTAATTTTGCAACTGCATTAATATTATTTTAAACAAAATAAAGATTTTATTTTATTTTTTTATACTTATAAATTATAACACTTTTGGCTGTAAACATACTTACGATGATTAGGATAAATAACGAGGCGAGAATCTTCAGTGCTTATTTTAGTTCTAGAYTCAAGTTTGTTATATAATATGTTATACAAGCAAGCAGTAATTGAACATTTTAATGCCGTCAATTCTTCATTGAGCTCTTCACAAAAATTATTCGGACAACTATTTTGTATACCTTTACAATGCTCAATTTCTGTCATAATGAGCTAAACATAAATAAAATAATATGGTTACAGATACTACTAAAAAAAGATTAAATTAGGTTAAATAAAARAATGCACAAACATTGTAATTAATTTGGTTTGAATTTGTGGAGTCTAATACACGACGTATATATTGATGCATTGAGTTGATATCTTGTCTCAAGAACTGGACATCTTTGGATTTGAATTCATCTATTCCTTTTATCTTTAAAATAATTAATTATAAATATAAATCAAAAAATAAATGTGTAATGCAAATAATGTAAAATACAAAAAAACAATTTATTTTTATTTTTACAGCAGTAGAATTTAATAGAAGCATAAATGTGATCTACAGAAAAAAAAGAAATATGTCATAACGATGTAACTTTAACCTTCCAAATTATTATCTATATTATTTTATAACATAATGCATTAAATATTTTATACACAAACATATTTATTACRCCCTGCATCTGTGATTCTAATCTAAATAAATTGTAATTAATGTAAAAACACCTACTGATATTATTTTATTTTTTGTTAATATATAACAGTGGTAAAAACTTTTAGCTAGAAATTGCTACAAAGTATTATTAAAAATATTCATACCATTTTAAGAACCAGAAATTGATCACAATTAACCAATAGTTAAAGACCTATTAATATTAATCATTACTAATTTATGTTTTTCAGTGTAAAATATTAACATAACTTTGAATATACTAATGAATACAAATGCTTTTACAACGAACTGTATTGTATCATATTGATTATATTTAATAGGTTAATAAGATCTTATTTTAAGTTGAATTTATAGGAATGTATAACATTATAA